GCATGTGGGTGGCTTCAATTTGAGTTATAACTTACAATTATAAAATGTTAGATAAATTAAAATTTTCATCATCTTTTCGAACAGTAATTWTTTGAATAATACATAATATTTTATCATGCGTATAATATTCTAATTGCATATCAAAACAAACTTTATGTATTAGTTAGAAATATAAATGATTTTAAATTGTTTGCATTTAAGCTAAAAAGATTAAATAAAATCTATAAATTCAAAAAAAGGAAAGTGCCGATAATTTGTAGTAATATATATAATTTGGTGTATCAGACCATTCTGAATATAATGGTTGTTATCTAAGGACCTAATGCAAAAGTTATAAGGTTATATCTAGGGTTCGGAAGTTAAAGGACCAAAAAGAGGCAAAATATACATGCAAATATGCAAGAAAAAATTATAAAATATGGATTAAAAAATGTGAAATATGCAAAAAAAAAATGTATTTATTTATTGAAAGTGTATCACTTATTTATTAATATACACGAAAAAAAATTATAAAAATGTATGTTAAAAAAAATTGTATTATTTAAAACTCCTATACATAAAAAAAAAATAAAAAATATGGTGTGTTACCGGTTGGCGTTTGAGATTTTATTGAAYTGAAAAAATGTAACATTATTAAAATAAATTAGTTAAGAATGAAAAAAATTAATTTTTGTAGAAAATATTAAATGCGCAAATATGCGAAAATCAATGAAAATCGATGAAATATGTACTTTTTCTCTAAAATTATCGAAATATGCAACATATGCATTTTAAATTTTAAATTTTCAAACTCAACATTGTATAACTCGGATTTCTCACTTGATCTACTATAATTCAACAGCATACTGAACAATATGCAACTCCTATAACTTCCGAAGTCCGAACCCTAGTTWTAACTTATRTATCAAATATTTATTTTTTTGGTAATAGGTTTTTAGCAATAAATGATTTCTAAACTAGTTTTTCAATTATAATAAAGCGAAAACAAGTTAAATAGATTTGTTACTCTTCGTGTCATAAATTAATGTTAATATTCCAATACATATTGAAAAACCAGTCAATTATTTTAATATTTTAAAATAACCCGTGGCTGTTAAAAAATTATAAAGATCAAAATGCAAAAAATGCACAACTGGTTAAATTTGTGTTTGTTTTTGCATTTAAATAATTTAAACTTTCAAATAATTACTAACGAACTGTTATATAGTTTCGTATCAAATTTTAGTTGTCAATATGAAATTAWAATATTAAATAGTTTCTATTTTAATTCTCGGAAATTATGTTTTAATACGAATATATATGTATTATTTATTTTATTACTTAGTTGGTAATACTTAATTTTATAAAAAAATGTATTTAATGAGTTTAGTGATTCTGAAAGCAAATTGTATGATATAAATTTGGTTTAGAATCTCGCAGCACTTGACTCAAACTCAATACCCGGAAACCCTCGAAGGAGGCTGAAGAGAAGATGATATTGTGACTTGATCCTTTATCAAAAGTCAAAATTCTAAAAATAATAAAWAAATAATACATATAGCTATAACAGATTAAAAAAAAAGTTAAATATAAAGTGTAATCGCTGGGTTATTTATTTTTTCATGCAACTCCCGTCTTGTTTATTTTAGCACGTATYCTTATTGTAAATAAAGTTTTACAGATTGTATGTATAAAATTGAAAAATATAGAAAAAAAATTTGTTTTAATTTCCAAAATCTTCATCTACTGTAGAAAATAAATTATTTAACTATGAATGTACAATTAAAAAAAAAAAATTAAAAAAAAATAATGTTGGAATCTGAGATGAACCAAACAAACCGAGTACCAAATGCGAAAAAATATTTAGGAGTCCACCCTTAACATTTTGGATGCTCAATTTATTTAAATATTAAATATAAATCTATGCAAAATTAGGTTTCCCATTAATCATTATAAGGCATTCGATAAAAGAAACTTGTTCGAATGAAATATATTAACAAACTAAACACTTAATCACTAAAAAAGGTTATAACAACATATTAATATTACTAGTAATTACTTAACTTTAAAAGTATAGAACTAAACGTGTCAATTAATAAAGTGTATTAACTTAAATTAATTTACACCATTTTGTCTAAAGATTAACAAAATTATATAATTATGTTTGTCATGTRGAYTAACTACAAGTAAGACACGTACACAAATGTATCCATGTAAATTACTTAYCTAAATGTCATTTAGACATATTTACTACTCTTCGAAAATCTATGWTGATTTATGAATAATTGAACACCTAATAAGCCACCTAAGGAGAAGTATATTTTTTCTAATATTGCAGTTAAAAAATTACCATCGATATTCAATCACGTCTTAAATTGAAGTTCAAACACGTGTTGACTAATTTGAATCCGATGACCCTATAACCATACACAGGTTACTTTCGGGTTCATAATATGATGTGGTCCTATAACCCCTTATAWTATGTACGATCGTGACGGTTAATCTCAAAATTATTATTATAACATGCTTAGATCGTGAACGGCTTTTGAAATTTCATTTYAGTAATTTAGATTTTTAGACGCGACCAAACAAGGTAATAAATCACACATCTCTGCATGTATGCGAGTGTATCATTGACTGTAGTTATATTCCATGTCCATAAAATATTCGGAATATTGAGAACCTTGAGATGGAATAATTGCAGGCTGTACACCGATTTTTATTTCTTGAAGATAAAATTAGGTTTTTTTCGCATAAAAACTATCACGGCCACTCGTGTTTACATTACGTCGATATGTAATAAGACACGACATTATATTATTATTATTTCTGTTCTTGTTTGCCAATAACTATTAGCTCTAATGTGGTGTATACAATTTCATGTTATTATATATATTTTTATTTGAGTGTCTTAAGTATCTGCAGATACTGTAGTTGTAAATTTTAAAATAATATGTACATGAATTACGTGTTTTTTTTATAGGAAACCATTTTTTTTTAACTAGTAAAAACGAGTTTGAAAATGCGATTCCACCCTATTTATATAATACTATGTTTAATATTAAAACTGTGGATTGTGTAATCTAAAGATAAATTCATATTTTTTAACTTTCTCCGTAATTAAAAAACTGTCGTATTTTCAGTATACACATGGCACAATAYAATTTTGTTCTCTTTTTCAGGGCTTACAAAATTTTTAATTGGAATTTAATTCAGTATGTGATGATTTATAACTCCATACGTACCTACATTAATTATAAAAATTATAGTAAATAACCTACAGAGAATTTATGTCATGGAAAGTGAAGTATGAATTTATTACACYCTAACACTTAAACAAAAAAGACGTTATAAATATAYAACATACTATATTTTTTAAATATGGTTGGATGTCATACTATAATATATTATAATATGTATAATATGTGCTCATATACTATTGTAATAATTATTGTATTTGATATATACCGATAATATTGCAGGAGTTAAGAAAATTTGATTAAAATTGAAATAATATATAAATAATAATATATAGGACTATTGTCCTAAATTATTTTTTATTTTTTTCAAATCAAARCATTGACTTTRGAAATTGTACCTATTTAAGAATTTAGGCTTATAATTGTTCAGTTTTCTGTACTAATCAAAACTTGACTAAGTAACCGTCCAAACACTATCTGWCAGAAATAATTAAGAATTAAATAACGTACAGAAATCAGAAACATTTATTTTAAATACAGTATTATAAAATCAATGTCAGAACTCATAGTGGTTTGGTTTGGTGTACTACTGTGCAGTGGCAGATGAAATTTTATAAATTTAGACTACTGTTTTGTGTTAATGGATATTATATATTGGATAGTAAGGACAAATAGGCTATAAATTTTAAGATCAATGGTAAAATTATCATCTGTTTACCTTGTATGCGGTCCATGTTTTTCTATAATTAACCAAGTTTATATTTTGTGTATGCTGCAAAAATTTGTAAAACGTTGTATTCATAAATTTAAACAATTTAATATTCAAGACGGAAAGTACTTTAATATCAATAATAAAGAGAAATAAAAAAATATTAAGGATTCTATAAAAAGAATTTGTTTATTGTTGTTCGGCGGTAACTTATAATAAAATTATAGTTAGTTATATAATATTAACAAAATGTTCGTGTATGTTTGTACTCGCACTTCACGGTGCGAAAAATAAAACGTTGCATGTGGATGATTCACTAGGAAATATGATTCATTTTGTTATTGTTATTATTTTTTTAACATTTAATAAGAACTTCGTGTGCGATGTGAGGAAACGAACAATATAAAACAAAATAGGTRTACGCGGCTTATCACCCGTTGAGGGTTTAGAACAAAGGAAATCATATCCAAAAGCCTTCCAGCAAGGATAGAGAATTTATTAATTCAATGATTCACATTTTATCACTATTGTGTTCGTGACCAATCCGTCACACCGTGCGCACAATATTATTTTGTGTCATTATATCTTAACACTATTCAATGTTTTAATTGTATCATAAAAATCAATGTTCTTTTAATAATTGTGGGCATTGCAAATGGATTAAACAACACCAATGCAGTTGTATGACAAACACTTCTAAAGTTCCTCGTGCGTGATGATGACTTAACACGTCTCGGTATAGACGATTTTGATTAGACATCGTATTGTTTATGTTTTATTATTATTAACACTAAAAAAATAAACTATTTTAAATGTTAAAATTTTGATTAATTTAAATGTATGCAAKCACTTATTTATAGGTAGGTAGATTTTATACCCATCTATAATATAATTTACTTCCTTTCGTTTAATTATATCATATTATATTACGAATTATTTGATACTAATCCAGTTTTATCACATTTATATCATTATTTTTGATATGATATTATTTTCTCTCAATAATTAAAAAAAAGTTTTTATTTTTTTCCTCGATTTACCGTTAGTAATTTTTGATGTCCATGAAACAATAACACTGACATTATTTTGTATTTGTTTCTTCTGTTTCTCAGACGGGATACATTCGCACAACCACTGGCAGCTACTTTATAGAGCCCGCAGAGAAGACAAACGACCACGTAACTCCGGCATTRCATACCATTTACCGGGCCGGTCAGTTGGCCGARGGTGACAAGTCGCCCGGACAAACGCAACAATCGCATCAGCCCGAGAAAAATTGCGGAGTACAAGGTACTTGTGCACAACAATAACATTCGASTCGGTTGCGAAAACGTTTTATTATATTATTTTAAAACGTTACACGATTTTAATGGGCCGTATAAATGTATAATAATATAATATYATAATGTGTAATAGTGCATGGTTACGCGTGATTATGCTTTTGCATATCATATAGGGTGGGTCTCGTGTCTCGATTATCCCGTTTGCTGTACGAACAACAATCGTACACACGCTGTAGGTACTATATGCAGGTACATTGGTATATACAATCAGACCATTGTAAACATCCAGTTAACGGGCACGACCGCACCGCAGTGGTGTGTGTGGGTATAATAATAATATATCGTAAATCCCATCGGCACCGCGAAGCTTTTCGAGTGCATATATAGGTACGTGCACGTTGCTGCAACGCATTATAATATATTTTTGTATGTACATATTATTCGTCGGCTCCGTCACGATGTATATATACGTATACATCGTACCAGGAGTATGGTATACCCTAAGCTAACGCGTTATGGGAATATAGAAGAAGTAGCAATAACAAATCATGATAATTGAACCAGCTGTTTAGATAGCTAGTCCGCCGTCGTCTGATAACGATTATAATACGCCTGTACGGATGATTTAAAACGCATGTCTTGTATTTGGAGTCCATTAGTGGCATAAGATAAAATATACAAATGCAATACGTATACGTGCTTATGTATACAATATATAGTTAGTAGGTAATAATATTATGTAGAATGGCAATAATTCCCACATAGTCCAAGTCGTGTCGTTTCTACAAAAGAAAAAAACAATAATGGTAATAATAATAATAACAATAACAGTATATTTATAAAATATGGATATCKGAGACCGGGAATCGGGTGGTGTTTGATAGTATTTCGTCATTCTGATATAATACAAATTCAGAATAAATATATTAAAATCCCACTCACTCGTATGCAGTGGGTTCTCATTCCGCTTCTCCTCGGGTAACTGCAGCATTAATTCAATGTCAAGGTCCATAATAGAACATTTTGTGGAGAGAGAGCTACAGAGTCTCCCGCGGAGACAAGAGTATCTACATTTTAAAACCGTCACTAGAAATTACGAATAAAATTGATTTTCTCCCAGCCTACGTAATAATAATAAACACATATGTATATTGTTTGATGGATTATATTAATATTTATTTAAAAAAMCACCGCGTATGAACTGTACGATTCGGCCGTAATGAATTCGTGACTCTGAACTCATATTAATCAATATCCGCCTTTGAATATTAGTAATAATAACAATATGTCTTTCTTTACATGATTTGAACTTCTTTTTGAGTAGGCATTCAATAGTCGCGGGGACACAATATATTTTGTAGTTTTTATTGAACTGTCATGTATTTTGGGTGGTTTAAATTTGTATACAACAAAAATATAAATGACAAAGAGAGTTGTACTATTATGAAATTKTAGTTACAGTCACACACCTATCGTGATAGTATTCTACAGAAATAAAAGTTTTATTTGTTTTATTTTTAGACAACGAAGGAACTGGGGATTTGGATACAATTAATGACGATGATAGTGCAACCACCGAAGTTAAACCGTTTATTGTTGACAGCGGTCCGAATCGTTTAACGGAAAATGATATTTTTTCGAGCTCCACCAATTTACCGTACACGAAAAAACACAGAAAGAAGCGATCGCTGACTTCGGAATACGTCGTGGAACTGATGGTSGTCGCGGACAAAAAAATGGCCGAATACCACGGAAAAGAGCTCCACAATTACGTACTCACCCTCTTGTCGATCGTAAGTGTGTCGTCGACCTAACCCACCGTGACAGTACACGTAAACATAATATAGTAGTATTATTAACACTATGACACCCGGGTCGTATAGGTATCAAAGATATACAAGGACAAGAGCATAGGGAACCCAATGCACATAGCCGTAGTYAAGTTGGTCGTCCTTAGAGACGTGCATTTCGTCGAAAACCGTAACCGCTTGGGCGGTATCGCAGCTGCAGACATGTTGCACAAATTTTGCGAATGGCAAACTCACCATAACGACGAGAACGATTCTAGCGCAAATCACCACGATTCCGCTCTACTATTAACCAGGTACACTCTTACTATTATTTTTTTATTGACAATGTATGTGAGCAAGTGAGCTGTCTAGACGATGACGGCGATGCTCGTATATATATATATATATATATATAATAATAATAATAATAGTTGGCGACTAGAATTACTGTCGTATTACATAAACAAATTACTCTTGTCAGAGTATAATTTTCAAAACGATCATTCACGAACGCACACAAACACACATTAAAAATAGTAATAAGTAATAACAATAATAGTAATAATAATAAGCGAGACTATGTCACGGGGGTCATAGGGCGGTGACTCGTTTGTTCTTCGGAGATAGCATCGAAACCGGTTGTAATTCACACGCGGTTTTTTTCCATTTCATTGACTTGTCGTACAACCTACCTATGCCGTAAGAGTTCATGAATGAACGACAAACGCAATTTATCAATCAGCTTACAATGCTTGTCGTAGGTACGATTTTGATTTTTGACGCGATCGAGACAATTTTATATTCCAGAATTGTTTCGATATGGGTACCGTTTTACAGTATTTAGCCGTATTCTATGCGTTTGTAAATACTAGTCACGCTTTTTTAAACAAGTGGACATGGTAACTGAAAATTACTGTATACCTACCTAATAATTCATATTATTCTGCAGTACGTGTTTATTATATTRTACGCTTTTTTAAAATKTTTAACAGAGAACACGTCTGTCGAAATCATAATCAGAAGAAATGCGATAATACCCTCGGATTGGCACAGTTAGGAACTATGTGTAATGTCAACAGTTGCGCAATCGTACAAGACAACGGGCTCAGCGCTGCATTTACAATTGCCCATGAATTGGGACACGTGTACGTCTATAATAGATTTATGGTGACGGTCTTGGTTGTAATTATTATGGTTATGATTGCTAAAAATATCTTTTAGATTAAGTATGCCACATGACGATGACAGTAAATGTAAAGACTTTGGACAGCAAGACGGGATGCATAATGTCATGTCAAGAATGTTGGATCACAACTCGCATCCGTGGACCTGGTCGACTTGCAGCCGACACTTTTTGACTGAGTATTTGGAGTGAGTTTTTACTATAATTAATTAACAATCGAATGCTGTATTATAACTATTAATAATAATTATTTYAAAGGGCTGGAAATGGTAAATGTCTTCAAGATGATCCCAGTAAGGATTATCTCGAAATCGAAAATCAGACCAACGAAAAGCATTTTGCCGGCGAAAACTATACGGGAGACAAACAATGCGAGTTGATTTACGGGTCGGGATCAAAAATATGTTCTTATATGGTGAGTAATTTTGATTTATTTTATTTAAGTTAAATTTACTTTCTCTTATTTAATAATCATGCTTTTAGCCGGTGTGTCAGAGATTATGGTGTACCACTGGTTCTGGGGAGAAAGATGGCTGCCGTACACAACACATGCCTTGGGCGGATGGTACACAATGCTGGAACAGTAAAAACTGGTGTCAGCAGGGAAAATGTGTGCCCAAAGATCGAAATGCGTTAAAACCAGTCGATGGCGGTTGGGGATCTTGGCAACCGTAAGTGTATGAGAAGTTGAAAATAATCAGTGTTGTGCAGATTATAATATACTGTACCTACCCACCGTTTAATAGTCGAATCGAATAAAATTTTAATAAATATTATGGTATAGGCAGTTAATACGGTTTAAAGYATAAAATTACATTTAAGAATATCTTTCTACTTTTTAACTTTTTTTTCAATCCGGAGATTGRTTTTTAACAAAATGTTTAACAATAAATGACTTCTCCACTTTTCTCATTCATTCGTTATATTCTTAAGTTCCATTACTACTTAGTTAGTTTACTTAATATGTATTACATATTATTAATATATAACAATAAGAAATATATATAAAGCCTTGACAAAACAGTGCACTGTCGATTTATCTTAATTTGAAATTTAAAAAAATGTTCCATGAATTCCAATAATTTTAAAACATGATCATAATCTAAGAGCTTACAACGTGTACGTAATTACAAAACCTATGCAATAATTCCTAAGTGTTGTATAAGAAACTTATCAAGTAAAKATATCACTTTATTCATTTATACTGTATAATTGTCGAATAACTGAGGTCATATAAAGTATATAAATCCGCATATTTAGTTATGGTGAATGTACGAGGACATGTGGTGGAGGCGTGAAGAAGAGTTACAGAGATTGTACCGACCCACCTCCGTCGAATGGCGGAAAATATTGTACAGGAAAACGCGTTCGAGTGCGGAGTTGTGCGACGAACGAATGTCCGATTGGCACTCCGGACTTCCGGTGAGTTTTTCCGTTTGTACCTACTTGAGCTGCAAATATATTTCACCCCAATGGCAACTCAATTTTTCCATTGACATTTTTAGTGGTGAACAGTGTGCAATGTTCAATAACAAGACATTCAACATAGCAGACCTCGAGCCGGATGTACAGTGGCTCCCGAAGTACGGTGGATGTAAGTTCAAAATTTTAAAGTATAATAACCAGAAAATAATCTTATTTGAATTTAATTTAATTTTTTTCTCTAGTTTTTACAGAACTAGAATATTTATATCCTGTTACTTTATAGTTCGTAAATTCCGGAAAGGGAACTTGCTGCTGGGGT